CAAACTGCCTCCAAGAGGTCCCCGAGAAGCCTCCCACGAGATCCCAACGAACATCCGATAGGCTTCATACCCACTACCCAGGCACGGTGGCGGGATGGGCCGAAGACCGCGAGATCCGCCGCCCCCTGCTTGCAGGGGTGCACGGCGTGCTGGATGTTTCAGGTTTTGGTTTTGGTTCTTTTTCTAAAAGAACTCCCCAGTGGGCTCCGGCAGAACCCGCCGGCCACCCGGAAGGCCCCCAAACGTGCTCAACGACCGGAAAAAATCCTCCAAGATGGCTCGAACTGGCCTCCAAGATGCCTCCAAGATGGCCAAGATGGTCTCCAAGACGGCTAAGATGGCCTTTAGATGCCTCCAAGACGGCCCAAGATGTACCCCAGACGGCCTAAGATAGCCTCAAGATGGCCCAAGATGGCCCAAGACGCCTCAAAGAGGCCTCCAACACAGCCCAAGAGCCCCTCAAGAGGTCCTCCAGGAGAGTCCGAAGAGGCCAAAATCATTGATTTTCCCATTGGTTTTTGAAGGATTTTGGCATTTGCGCCTTTTCGGCTCTCCGACGGCTCAAGACGGCCCAAGAAGCCCCCAAGATCGCCCAAGAGGCCCCCAAGAGAGCCCCATGATGGCCCAAGTGGCCTCCAAGATGGCCCCTAGAGGGCCCCAAGAGGGCCCAAGAGGCCTCCAACACGCCCAAGATGGCCTCCAAGACGCCCAAGATGGCCTCCAAGACGGCCCTGGAGCATTCCAAGCGGGCCCCAAGTCGGCCCATAGAGGCCCCCCAAACGGCTTCCGACGGCTTCAGACGTGCCAGGAACCCACCAAGATGGCCGAAGTTGGCTCGAAGCTGGCCCGAGACGGCCCAAAAAGCCCCAAAGATCGCCCAAAGCTTGCCCAAGAGGCCTCCAAGACGGCCAAGATGACCTTCAAGATGCCCACGTGTTCCCCGAAGGCTTTCCAAACCGATTCGGGGAACACGTGGTCCGATAGCTTGGCAGGTCTGGCCTCAACGTTCGGCCACATAGGCGCTTCCAAAAAGGCAGGGGGCGGCGGTGATTCGCCGTAGGCGTCTTCGATACTTAAAATGTTCGCAGGTATACGAACAAGCTAAATCTACTCTTCGTAGAGTCGACGAGCCAAAAAATCTTGGGCAAATAGATTATGTAGTCGGCCTCCTACTCAAACTAGGAGGAGGCTCCACGACGGCTGCGGCGAACTGCCCGTCAGATGCGCGCGCAACAATCACAGCACAGGGCTGCTCCTGAGGCGACGAGGGGCCCCGAGATCTCGGTCGCGCCGATCCATTCTGGGATGAATCAACTCTGTAGTCGATGCCCTACTCGAAGGACGAGGGGAGTCAGCGCACGCCCTTTTCAAAGCGCTTCTCGATACGTCTGCCCCGAAGCTTGCCAGGAGTCCTTCCGAAGCTCTCTCTCCAGGAGCTTCCAGAGCTCCGTCGAGAGGCCTCGGCACACGCCCTCCCAGCGCCCTGCTATCCGGTTTCTGGACTCCGCGAGCAGTCGATGCCCTCCTACTCGAAGGACGAGGGGAGTCAGCGCACGCCCTTTTCTAAGCGTTTCCCGATACGTCTGCCCAGAAGCCTTCCAGAAGGCCTTCCGAAGCTCTCTCTCCAGGAGCTTCCAGAGCTCCGTCGAGAGATTCCTCTGCACCACGCCCTTCTGGCGCCCTGCTGTCCGGGCTCTGGACTCCGCGAGCAGTCGATGCCCTACTCGAAGGCAGCGGGGAGTCAGCGCACCATGGCTCGCGGCCCGTGCGCAGACGAGGGGAGGCCAGGGGGCGTGCTGAAAGACACCCCCCTGGGGGGGGAGCACCCCTCCCCGGGAGAAGCTTTCGGCTCCCGGGCGTCAGCGTCGTCGTCGTCGTCATCGCCGTCGTCGTCGTCGTTGTCCCCCGTCAGGGTCGGCGGCACTGGCCGTGAGGCCTTGGCCGCAGAAGAGACATGAAATCCGTGAGATTTTGCGGGCCCGGCCGTGACACCCTCGACGCCTGGTGGTCTCCGGGTCATAACTCGGGCCTCCGCTGGCCTCCGGCGGCCGTTCGGGACGATCCTGGCGCTCCTGGCAAGCTCACGACGAGGCGCAGCTGCTGGAAAGCAGCCCGAGGCTGGAGAACCGCCAAGAACCAACGAAAGCGTCCGAAAACTTCGAACCTCGAGCCCCCTGTTGTCCGCGCGGAAGATCGCACTGCACCGCCGACGCGTGGGCGGCTCCGGGATGAAGAATGTCGGCGCCCGTCACAGCGGTGCGATCTGGGGACCCCCATCAACGGTCGGCTGCCAGAGTGAGGATGCCGAGCCTCGTTAAGGGCTTAACGACTTCCGTTGTCCTTAGACTCGCGCTGACGCGTCCACGATTTGCCCCGGAATTCCCTGGAGATCTCTGGATCTACATCGATGTTGACAGATCTACCTCGATCTAAAAAGATGTACCTCGATATATCTGGCCGAATCCCCGCAAGTGAATTGGAGAAAAATCGTCAGGCCCTTAGGGAGTGTCAGGGTGCAGCTCCCTTGGCTTAGCTGCCCTGTTACGCAACACACAACCCAGAGCATGATGACGCGGAGCTCCAAACATATATTGAAGACGCAGGTCTGGCGCGACAAATTCGCCAAAACGTGGGCCAACAAAGGCCCAGCCAAAACCCAGCGTGTTCAACCCATACGTTTGAACACGTTCCGTGTTGCGTGGCAGCTAAGTCCCGTTGTCGCCCGATACACTCAGCAGCTGGCAAGCTGAGGAAATGGGCCGAGTATGGGAGGGCAAAGATGCAGGGACAGTATTGCTGAAGGTTCGCATTAACACGACTGCGTTTGACTACTATCCTGCTGATGCTCCTCTTCCTCCTCCTCCTCTTCCTCCTCATCATCCTGCTTGTTCTCCTCCTGCTCATTATCCTCCTGCTCCTCCTCCTCCTCCTCCTCCTCCTCCTCCTCCTCCTCCTCCTCCTCCCCCTCCTGCTCTTCCTCCTCTTCCTCCTCCTCGTCCTCCTCCATTTATACTTGCTTCCTCTCCTCCTCATCTTCCTCTTCCTCCTCTCCTCCTCCTCCTCCTCCTCCTCATCATCATCATCCTTCTCCTCCTCCTCCTCCTCCTTCTCCTCCTCCTCCTCCTCCTCCTCCTTCTCCTCCTCCCCCTCCGCTTCCCTCTTCTTCCTCCTCCTAAGTTTGCCCTTCGCGGGCAAGAGTCCTGCTGTAGGATTGCTGATCCTCAAAATGAAGCTGCTGGAAATGCTCCTCCTGCTGTTCCTGCTCCTGCTCCTGCTCCTGCTTCTTCGCCGCATCATCATCAGCAGCAGCATCGTCATAGTCATAAGTCTCATCAGCATCACCATCATCATCAGCAGCAGCAGCGTCAGCATCAGCATCAGCATCATCATCATCATCATCATCATCATCATCAGCAGCAGCAGCAGCGTCATCATCATCATCATCATCATCAGCAGCAGCAGCATAAGCATAATCATCAGCATCAGCATCAGCATCATCATCATCATCATCATCATCATCATCATCATCATCATCATCCGCATCAGCAGCAGCAGCGTCATCATCATCATCATCATCATAATCATCATCATCATCATCATCAGCAGCAGCAGCGTAATCATCATCAACATCATCACCATTATCATCATCATCATGATCATCATCATCATCATCATCCTCATCATCATTAGCTTCACCATCATCATTATAAACATCACCACCATCGTCATCAGCATCATACTACTATTCTTCTTCATCATCAGTATCATCATCAGCAGTGGCATCATCCTCATCAACATCATCATCACCATCATCATCATCGTCGTCGACGTCGTGGTCGTCGTCGTCTTTATCACCATCATCATCAGCAGCATCAACATCAGCATCATCATCACCATCAGCATTAAAATCGTCATCGCCGTCAGAATCAGCATCAGCAGCATCAGTACTGTTACATCATCCTAGTGATCATCAGCAGCGACAGCAGCACCATCATCATCATAAGCAGCAACAGCATCAGCATCATCATAATCAGCAGCATCAGCATCATGGTCATCATCATCAGCATCATCATCGTAATCAGCAGCAGCATCATCATCGCCGACAGTATCATCATCAGCAGCAGCAGCATCGTCATCATCAGCAACATCAGCAGCATTACCATCCACAGCATCAGCATCATTAACGTCGTCGTCACCAGCATCATCATTACCATCATAATCACCGTCGTCATAATCGCCATAATCGTCAGCAACAGCAGCATCATCAGCTCGCCGTCGACACCAACATCATTAGCATCAGTATTAAAGGCGTATTCAGCATCATCAGCATCATCATCCTCATCATCATCATCGGCATCCTCATCATCATCAACAACATCTCCGTCATCATAGACATCATCATCGTAGTCATCATCATCAACGTCATAATTGTCATCATCGTCCCCATCATCCCCTCCGTCACCCTACTCAGCAACTTTATCAACATCATCATCAATCTCGTCATCAGCATCATCATCATCAATTCCATCATCATCACATCACCATCACAATCACAATCAATCCATCAATTCCATCAATTCATCACCATCAATCCATCCTTCACCATCACCATCAATTCCATCAATTACATCACCATCACCATCACCATCACCATCAGCATCCTCATCATCAACCTCATCATCATAATCATCATCATGATCAGCAGAAGCATCATCAGTCTCATCATCATCATCATCATCATCATCAGCAGCATCATCATTAACATCACCATCATCATCACCTCTAATCCGTCACCATCCTTTCCCTCATCCTCATCCTCCCCCTGTTCCTCGTTCTCCTCCTCCTCCTTCTCCTCCTTCTCCTTTTCCCTCCTCCTCCTCCTCCTTATCTGGGTCCTCCTTCTCCACCTGCTCCTCCGCATCCTCCTCCTCGGCCCTCTCAGTCATTTCTTCCCTCCCCCCTGATGCTAAAGGTGATGCCGAGCGTGATGACGACCATGATGACGCTAAGCAAGGCTTGCACGTGTCATCCAGACCAAAACATGTAAGAATATTCGAGTCGCGACTCGCGCCATCAGCAGCTACTGAAACTCAGTATAGTCAAAAAGAATCACATGGGTGCGCATTGCGATTAAATGGTGCGCGCACGAGTAGGAAAGAGCACGACGTGTGAGCGAATAACAAACAATACATAGTTCGGGGGAGCATGCTTAAAAAAAGGCCTCATCGTCAGCACGGAAAGGTCGCCAGGCTGAACGAGCGTAAATTCTGACCAATGCGAGTCGGGAGGATATGTAATGGAGGGATGAGATGCTGCAATTGGGAGGTGCTTCCTCCTGTCTAGCGAACTTGATTCGTCATTCTGATTGGAAACTGAAGAACATCATGCACGTGATTGGGCAGGGTGTAGCGCTATCGGCCAGGCAACTTCAGAAGGTCGCTGGCGGTAGCAGGGCACCAGAAGGCGTGATTGCGCCTCACAGGGGGGCAGACAGCTCGCGTTCATGCGATGTCTCTGGCGCTGTCCTCATTCAAGAATGGCTGCTACCTGTCCTCGGCGTGATTGGATAGAGGAATCAGAAAAGTCATAAACATAAACTGTCGGAGCCCCACGCGGATTTCTTGGATCGGCGCTGGACTCCCCTCCCTTGCGCCCGGAGGTCGCCAAAGGCCCCGTGCCCATCACACGACATCCGCGCGGAGCTGAAAAAGTTATGTTACGCCGTCTCTTCTTCTTCGAGTTGAGGATCTCGGCGTCCTCTGCGGCCCCTGGCAGGCAGGTCATAGGAATGGCATTCGTGGCCACGGCCTGGCCGAGCAGGACGGCCGGCTGGCTGGGCAACTCGGTGAGCACTTCGGGCCTGAGGATCGGGCGGTTCTGGAGGTCTTGCTGCTGGAGCAAAACCCGCAGGTTGAAGTGCTGCACGAGATCCTCGTGGCCCTGCGCGCGGGCGTAGATCACGACGGGCGACTTCGAGGGGAGATTGCTGCACGCGTCCCGCCAGTGCCCACTCTCCGCTGCGCTATGGAGGATGAGCACGTCCTGAGGAGACACGAAATTCACGCACGCCCAGCCCGCCCAAATGAACTTTTGGAAGGACTGCTTCCTGCATGGCATGTAGAATAGCGAAAACCGGCTGCTGAGACCGCACCTTTCCAGAAACAGTAGGAGGTCTCTCCTCGCGCATACTCCCCGCAGGTGCCTGACTATGACACTTGTACGCTTGTCCTCGCCACGCAAGATTGCTTCTGGATTGATCTCGAACTTCAGGACTTCCTCATGGGTGATCATGGCCTGCTCCAAGCAATGCTTGGCCACGTCGCCGGCCTGCTCAGAAGCACTTTCTGGCATGCTGCCGATGCCGTTGGGACCCGCACGGGCTGTCGCTTGGCGCATTACGCTGGGCGGCACTGGCAGCTTTACTGGAACACCTTCAAGGAGGTGACGCGTCTGGATCGCCGAAGGCACAGGGACGTCTCTGGGTACCAGGGTGGCGCAGCCACTGGCAGCCCTCAAGAGCGCCTGTGCAGAGCGAGTGTCGTAGAACTCAACGACCGCCATTCCAGCAAACATGCTGACGTGGGCCACCTCCCCGAAGTCCTGGAACTGGAATCCTCCCGCGTGTTGTGCCTTCGCGCGGAAGCCCAGCAAATCTACCGAGACGATGCGACGATCACGCGCTGCTGGCTGGTGAGGCGTGGCGCGGGGCGCCATGTGTAGCACTGCACTCTGGGCGCACCGCACGTCGAAGTAGGTCACGAGCACGGCCCCGAGCGCGCCCGCGAGGCTGGCGCAGAGGTGGGCGATCTCCCCGGACTCGGACAGGTCCTGCAGCGGCCTCGCCCCCGCGGCGCTCAGTATACAGATCGTGTTCGACATGCCCGAAGTCCAGCTGCACGAGGTATCCGGCGGCGCGCCCGAGCCGCCCGCTGCCGTCGCCACGAACACCGAGCCGCGGCCGCTCGCCCCCTTCATGGAAGCCCCGACTGCGGAGCCGTCCTGCGGGGCCCCTTGCTCGAGCCGCTGGCGGGCGGCGCGAGCGCGGGTGATCAGCCGGCGGGAGACGCGGTGCCGCCGCCCAGCGCTCGGGCTGGAGCTCCTCGACAGTCTCATATGCGGTGCAAGGCAACGTTGCGGCCTAACTTCCGAAGTCGATATGTTCTCCGCTCGTCCGAGGTCAGAGCATGTGCTGGGGTTGCCCTGTGGTCCGCCAGCGATCGGCACCCGAGATGCCTCACGCCCTTGAGATGAGACCTCCAGAGCTGGGATGGGCGACAGGGAGCTCGAACGCCATGCTCTGGCGGCGCGCCAGGGGAGCGCCAGGCGATGGGGTGGGCCATCTACTCAGGTAAGGGGCTTCTCAGCAGCCCCCCTGCCGTCTGAGAGGTCCCATCTAGGCAACCACATGTGAACACTACCCCTGCAGGTCAGAGTTACGAAAAACTGGCTGGGGCTCAGAGTTTGAAGGATAACTGCAGCCAAAGGAACCACGGCGGGGGCGTCCGACCCCCGAGCGTCGATTGGACCCGCAGGAGTAGGGTCCGCAAGTGGTCGCAGACCTATCCGAAGCCCCTAGCCGCTTCCGAGAAGTCCCCCGGCCTTGCCACAAGGCTAGAAGCCTCATAGATGGGGTCCGAGCAGATCGGGTCGAAGGACCGCGCCGCATCGCCAATGTATCACCGATGTATCGGCGATGCATCGGCGATGCATCGCCGATGCATCAGCGACGTCGGCGACGCATCCGCGACGTCGGCGTGGGGAAAATCGGGCTCCACATCGAGCCGCATCGCCGATACATCGGCGATGCGGCGCGATCCTCCGACCCCATCTACTCCGACCCCATCTAGGAGGCCTAGACAGGCTGCCCTCTCCTCCCTTAACCCAGCCCCTGGCGCGCCGCCAAATGTCCCTGATGGCCACATCGGCGACCTCACGCGAACTTCTGTGCAGCCGCGCTCCCCCGCGCACGCGGGCGTCCCCGGGCCCTCGGCTGGGAAAAACCGCACACGGCACCCCCTGGGCTTCGGCACGCACGCTCGCGCATGAGCCGCCAGGAGATGCCCATGTCCACGACTTCTGCAGGCTCGCCCTCCCACTCCTCCTCCCCTGAGGTCAAAGGTTGCGGAAACCTGCAACATCGTGAATAAAACACAGAAGGAGCCCCTGACCCGATCTTTCTGCAGCAAGTTTCGAGCCGAATCGATCCGTGATGGCCCCGGTGCCACGAACCTGGCGTAAACGCCCGGTGTAAAAAAAACTGCAACGCCCGGATCTCAGGGTGCTCCTCCTCCTCCTCCTTCTCCTCCTCCACCTCCTTCTTCTCCTCCTCATCCTCCTCCTCCGTCCTCCTCCTTCCTCCTCCCTCCTCCTCCTCCTCCTCCGCCTCCTCCCTCCTCCTCCTCCTCCTCCTCCTCCTCCTCCTCCTCCTCCTCCTCCTCCTCCTCCTCCTCCTCCTCCTCCTCCTCCTCCTCCTCCTCCTCCTCCTCCTCCCACTCCCGCTTCCCCTCCAACCCTTCGGCCCCTCTTTCTCCTCCTCCCCTGGCCCTCCTCCCCCGACCTCCCCCCCCCGGCCTGCTTGGCTTCGCCCGCGCCCCGCGGGTCCCAGAGGAGCGGCGGATGCAGATATTCTCCCATGCACCCGCAGGGGCGGGCAGATATTCAGACCCGCCACTCCTCAAGGCCCCAGGGCACAGCTCTGAAGCGTCAGGTTACATCTTCGGGGGACATTGCCTGGTCCCGTCGCGCCCCTGTCCGCATCGAATCCGTGTCGAAGGCATGTCGGACCTACTCGAAGCCGCGTCGAATCCACGTCGAACAGCGCGTCGAATCCACGCCAAATCCGCGTCGAGTCCGCATCGAGCCCGCATCGGACACAGGAGAAGACACCAAGTCTAGGGACAGACGAGGTCCCCCAAAGATGCAACGTAAGAAATGGCGGATATGGATGTAGCCTGGCGGTGAAAAATGAGGGAGAAGCTCGGTACACGACGGGATCGCTTCGGCCAAGCTGGCTTGAACCAAAATCTCTCTTGGCGGTGCAAAACGGATGCATGACTCGTTCCGATAACCTTTGATCCAGAAGATGAAAATATCTTGGAAGGCCAATGTATACAGTCAACACTTATAGCAAGGATATACGATAAGGATGCGAGGGCGTTGTAAGGCCATGTCGAGACTTTTCGAGCGGGGCGCGGCCAGCGAAAGCGGCCAAGGACGAGCCGAAGGGAAAGGATGCAACGGTAACCTTAAAATGTCGCTGATCGTTCCTACGAGTGTTGCCTGTACTTAGCCGAGTGCCGCCGGCCTTCCGCCTTCTGCCGGCCAAAGGCCACCACCGTTCTACTTCTGTCACCTTCCGTCAGCATTTCGCCCCCTTCCGCCGGGGACGATATGCCAACCCATCGATCCCGTGAAGGCGAGGCCCTTTTCTGGAATGCACTGAAAAAAGATGCGTGCCCAAAGCCGGCCGACAAACGAACGCGCATGCCTGCATCTCTATACCGGTTTCCGTGGGCCCGTGACAGAAAGCAAATTGAGGCCGCCCAGACTTCGCAAAAAACGATCTCCCTGCAATGCGCACATGTGAATGTGCACGACTCCCTGTCGTGTGTCTCTCGAATTCGACTTGACGAGTGTGTGGATATGAACGCGTCGAGCACCAGGAAAGGAAAAAAAAAATGCATGGAGGTGGCGGAACACACACACACACACACACACACACACACACACACACACGCGCGCACGCACGCACGCACGCACGCACGCACGCACGCACGCACACGCATACACACACACACACTTCTGAGTCGGCGGCGCAAAGGAACCGCAGGCGCGGTCGGCAGATGGAAGTGCCAATTGCGAACGAACTTAGTCGAACGCGCCGTGATGAAAGAGTCCAACCACGTCCACGCAGATTGGTGATGGTGGTGAAAAGATGAGGCATTGCAGAACCAATGTGCAGCGTCCAAGCATCCCGCGGAGCGTAGCTCGACGCCAGGAGTTGAAGCGCGGGCAGCAGTCCGGTGCGAATTAGCCAGTTGAGAGAAAAGCACTGTAGAGTTGCCAGACCAGCCAGCAAGCGGCGGCGCGTGACAGGCACAGGCGAGACAAGCGCCGCCGCCAGGCAAGCAACGAACACGACAGAACGCCGTGCATGTGCAAGCAGAGCGGACAAAAACGCGCGTTCGAGGCATCAAGCCAAGAAAAAAAGTCAAGCTGACCGCGGGCGACCGCGACAGCCAACGCTTCGCGTGGTGGCGTACATGGGTGGTGGACAGCACAGGCAAATCCATGGGTGGTGGACGGCGCGTGCGTGGCCAACGTGCAATGTGGGCGCCACCGTTGAAGGCAAATCCACCGCAGCAAAGGTAGAACACACACACACACAAACAAACAGGAGGGGGAGGGAGGCAGGAGGGAGGAAGGATGGGACGAGATGGGGCGAGGGAGGGGGTGGGCAAGGGAGGGGAGGGGATAAGGAGAGCGGCGAGCGATGGGGAGGTCGGGAGGGGAAAGGGGCAGAGAGCAGGATACATGTGGGAGGGGGACGAGAAGGAGGGAGAAGAATGAGCAGAAAGAGAAGCATGGAGGGGGAGGATTCTGACACCTACAATGCGATCACGAAAGGTTCGGAAGTAGGCGGCTGGCATCCAGTCATCGATTCTGGATCAATGTGGTCAAACAAACTTCATTGCTCCAAGGCTACACCGTAAAAGCTGTGCCCGAGCTGTTGCGATGGACGCTCCCAAAATGTGCGTCTGCGTGCCATTTTCAGAACAACGGACGCAGCAGCCACAGGTGCGTGTGAACCAGAACCTGCGAATATGTTTCGATGCATCCGAGCTGCTGCGGTTGATGTAAAGACGGTACCCAGATCAAGGCGCTGTGCGATTCCCCCTCCTACCCCGTCCTTGCCTCCCTCCCCCCCCGTAGTTTCCCCTCCAAACACCTTGCGAGGGGATTGGGCCATGGGCCCGGGGGAGAACGGGGGATTGTGGGGGTCCTCGCCTTTCGAGGGGTGTTTTCGTATGGTTTTCTTCCTTTCCTCCTCCTCCTCTTTCTTTTCGTTTTCTTCCTCCTCCTCCTCCCCTTATTCCTCTTCATGCTCGTTCTCCCTATCCTGCTCCTCAACTCCCTCCCCTCCTTCTACTCCTCCTCCTCCCTCTCCCTCCTTCCCTTTTTTTTTTGCGTGTTCCCCCCCCCCCCCAAAAAAAAAGACGAAGGCCACCCCGTTGTTTTTTTTGGGGGGGGAAGGGGGCACGAAAAATCCTCCTTCCTCCTCCCCCTCCTCCCCCTCCTCCTCCTCCTCCTAGTCCTCCTCCTCTCCTCCTCCTCCTCCTCCTCCTCTCCCCCCTCCTGCTACCTCTCTGCCTTTTTTTTTCTATGGCCCCCCCCCCCCCAGAAAAAAAAAAAAAAACAAAAAAAAAAAAAAAAAAAAAAAAAACGGAAAAACAAATTCAGTTTTTTTTTTTTTTCTGGGGGGGGGGGGGGCGCGCCAGGAGAAAGAAAAAGAAGGAATGCGACGTGACCACATCTGCTCTCCCCCTAGAAGGATTCCTATTGGACGCCCCCATAAGAACAATTCACAGTAAAATCCTCGACAGAAGGGTTCCTATCGAAACCCTTCACTGAATGATTCCTACCGAAATCCTCCACATGTGGATTACTACTGAAACCCTCCACTGAATGATTCCTACTGGAATTCTCGAATGGCAATGGCAATGGCAATGGCAATGGTAATGGTAATGGTAATGGTACTGGTAATGGTACTGGTAATGGCTACGGTAATGATAGTGGTAACGGGGTAGCGAGGCAATGACAATGGCAATGGCAACGGTAATGGTAATGTTAATGGCAATGGCAATGGCAATGGCAATGACAATGGCAATGGCAATGGCAATGGTAATGGCCATGGCAATGGTAATGGTCATGGTAAGGATAGAGGTATAGGTAGAGTTAAAGGTAATGGTAATGGTAATGGTAATGGCACTGGCAATGGCAATGGTATTGGTAATGGTAATGGTAATGGGAATGGAAGTGGGAATGGGAACGGGAACGGGAATGGAAATGATAGTGGTAGTGATAATGGTAATGGCACTGGTAATGGTAATGGTAATGGTTCTGGAAATTGTGATAGTACTGGGAATGGGAATGAGAATGAGAATTCTAATGGTAATGGCAGCGGTAGTATCATGGGAATGGGAATGGGAGTGGAAATGGTACTGGCAATGGTAATGGTATTCACGAATGGCAATGGCAATGGTGATGGTACTGGTAATGGTAATGACAGAGGTAATGGTACCGGTACAAGTAATGGGAACGGTAATGGTAATGGTAAGGGGGTAGCGATTGGCAATGGCAATGACAATGGCAACGGTAATGGAAATGACAATGGCAATGAGATTGGCAATGGCGATGACAATGATAATGGCCCTGGCAATGGCAATGGTAAGTGTAATGATAATGGCAATGGTAATGGGAAAAGGAACGGGAATGAAAATGTGAATGGGAATAGGAACGGGGACGGGAATGGAAATGGTAGTGGTAGTGGTAACGGAAATGGGAATGTTAAGGGTAAGGGTAAAGGTAAAGGTAGAGGTAAAGGTAATGGTAATGGAAATGATAGTGATAATGGTAATGGTAATTGTAGTGGTAATGGTCATGAGAATGGGAATGGCAATGGAAATGGTACTGGCAATGGTAAGGGTAGTGGCTAATGGCAATGGCAATGGCAATGCGAATGGTACTGGTAATGACAGAGGTAATGGTAATGGTACTGGTAATGGTAACGGTAATGATAGTGGTAACGGGGTGGCGACTGGCAATGGCAATGACAATGACAACGGCAACGGTAATGGCAATGGCAATGGCAATGGGAATGGCAATGGCAATGGTAATGGCCATGGCAATGGCAATGACAATGGTAATGGTAATGATATAGTAATGTGAATGGGAATGGGAACGGGAATGGGAATGTGAATGGGAATGGGAACGGGCATGTAAATGGCAGTGATAGTGGTAACGGAAATGGGAATGGTAAGGGTAAGGGTAAATGTAAAGGTAGAGGTAAAGGTAATGGTAATGGTAATGGCAATGGCAGTTGTAATGGTAATAGTAATGGTAATGGTAATGGTATTGGGAATGGGAATGGTAATCGGAATGGTAATGGTACTGGCTACGGTAATGGTAGTGGCGAAGGGCAATGGCAATGGCAATGGTAATGGTTATGGTAGTGGCGAATGGTAATGGTAATGGTAGGGGCGAATGGCAATGACAATGGCAATGGTAATGGTAATGGCAATGACAATGGTAATGATAATGGTACTGGGAATGGTAATGGTGACGATAACGGTAATGGTAATAGTTATGGCAATGGTAACAGGGTAGCGATTGGCAATGGTAATGGGAATGGCAACGGCAACGGCAATGGCAATAGCAATGGCCATGGCAATGGTAATGGATATGGTCATGGTGATGGTAATGGTAATGGTAATGGTAATGGTAAGGAGAATGGGAATGGGAATGGGAATGGGAATGGGAATGGGAATCGTAGTACTAATTGGAACGGGAACGGGAATGGAAATGGTAGTGGTAGTGGGAAAGATAATGGCAATGGTAATGGAAATGTTACTGGTAACGGTAATGGTAATAGCAATGATGATGGGAATGGGAATTGTAATGGTGATGGCAGCGGTAATGGTAATGGTAATGGCAATTGTGTTGGTAATGCTAATGATAATGGCAATGTTTATGGTGGTGGCGAATGGTAATGGTAATGGGCATGGTAATGGTAACGGTAATGGTAACGGGGTGGCTACTGGCAATGGCAATACCATGGCAATGGCAACGGCACTGGCAATGGCAATGGCAATGATAATGTCAATTGTAATGGCAATGGTAAGGGCACTGGCAATTGTAATGGCAATGGTAATGGTAATGGTACAGGTCCTGGTCAAAGAAGGAACGAAAGATATTAAGAAGATAATATGATGACGCAGAGAGATGGAAGAGCGTTTCACTCGATAAAAACCATATGAAAACGACGAGGACCCCCACAATCCCCCGGCCTCGGAAAAATACGAATATGGTGATACCACGCCGTCCTGCAGGCTAATGCCACTAACATGTTTGGGGTATACACGTGTGCTCTCGCTGGGTACAACTGCTATGTGTGCATTCATACATGTATGCTTTGTGATGTGTATATGTATACGGTACGGAACGTATGCTTTGGGAATGTGATCCTCATATTACTTTCAAGCAACATCTGCCTGAGCCCTTTCGGGCCCATCTGTATTCTTACTACACAATTGGTGGCAGCGGAGGAGAGAGGAGAAGAGGAGGAGGAGAGGAGAGGAGAGAAGAGGAGAAAGGAGGAGATGGAGGGAGGGAGAGAGGGACGGAGGACGAGGAGGAGGCGGAGGCGGGGCCCCAGCTGGCGGAGGTTCCCAGGCGACGGTGAGGCCCCGGCGGGGGCGCGACGGAGGCGGAAGAGGAAGCCACGGTGGCAGTGGGAGACGGTTGCCGGGGCGAAGGGCAGGAGGGAGGGGGAGAAGGAGGAGGAGGCGGCGGCGGCGGGGAAGAAGGGAGAGGGACGACGACGACGACGACGACGACGACGACGACGACGACGACGACGACGACGACGACGACGACGACGACGACGACGACGACGACGACGACGACGGCGGCGGCGGCGGCGGCGGCGGCGGCGGCGGCGGCGGCGGCGGCGGCGGCGGCGGCGGCGGCGGTACCGCGGCGAGCGCTGGTGAGCGGGCGAGCGGCGGCCAGGGCGGGCGCGCCAAAGGTGCCGTACCCGGCGATGGGGTTGGAGAAGGCGATGCTGAGGTAGGTGTCGAGCCCTGCCCTCCTCCTCGAGCCTCCTCCCCCGCGATCCTCCTCCAACCCCATCCAGCTCGTCCAGCTCCTCGGCCCTCGATCCTCGGTCCGCGGCGCTCAGCCTCGAGCCTCCTCCTCAATCCTCCTCTTCCTCCTCTTCCT